TGGTGTGGAACTGATGGGGTCGGAGGCTTCTTTGAAGTCGGCGAATTCTAAAAGACTACGGTATTAATTCGAATAAACGCCGCCCTCGAATAAACGCCGCACCTGAGAGCCAAAATATAAATAAACGCCGCCCTCGAATAAAAGCCGCACCCAGGGTGCGGCGTTTATTCGAATATTAGACAAAATGAAAATAATTCTAGTGCAAGGCAATAATAACATGTCCTTACATGTTCCCCCCTGGTAAAGCATCTCTGCAAAGTCAGAAACAAAACAGCACATCGGGGTAACCAAGTAGAGAAAATTATTCGTCAAGAGAAAATCAACGCAGTCATTCGCATGAACCAAGTAAACGCTGTGAACAACGAGCAATTAAACCATAAACGAGGCTCTAAAGGATGGTGGGACACAGCCAATAGAATAACTTGCAGAAAGACACAAAGCACCCTTGTCAGCTCGGTGATTTCACCTGATGTCATCAACACATAATTCCAGACTATCAACACTGACGATGAATATGAGGCTCCAATGCGTCTGAAAATACCAGCAGGAACCCGTTTGCCGACTGTGAACGAATGTGATGTACGAAACTTATTATCGCACCTGAAACGAACCGTCTCGGGGCCTGATGAGTTTCCCTATTGGTTCTGGCGCGATTTCTCTCACCATCTTGCACCCGTGATCACCAAAATTTTCAACTGCTCACTTAGGCATCAAACCGTCCCATCTCTGTGAAAATTAGCAAACGTGTCGCCCATCTCTAAGGTATCTCCTCTGACTGAATGCAATCAGCTTAGACCGATCTCATTAACCAACATCATAATGAGAATTTTTGAGCGTCTCGTCTGTAAACAAGAAGTATCTCCTATCCTCAAGTCTGCGATCGGACCTGACCAATTCGCATTTAAGAAGGGGAACAACACAACTATGGCCCTTATTAAGCGCCAACACTTTTGGCTTGAGCGACTTGACCGAGATGCGGCTTTTGTAAGAGCCTTCTCATTCGATTTCAGTAAGGCTTTTGATTCAGTCTCCCATCGCATTCTATTCAGCAAGCTGATGTCGTATGACATCAATCCAGACATTAAGAACTGGATAAGCTTCCTGTGTGATCGCCGACAGAGAGTAGTGGTTGATGGAGTGGTTACTACTTTTCTCAACGCTAACAGAGGGGTTCCCCAGGGAACTGTGCTTGGACCCTTACTTTTCTCTATCATGGTCAATAATATTAAACCGGTCAGCCCCCAAACCCTACTGATCAAATATGCTGATGACATTACAGCAAGTGTGCCTGTCACAACTGGCCCTAATCTTACAGATTTATCACATTATGAAGTAGAAAATATCAAACGTTGGGCGGATAAAAACCTGATGACACTAAACATGAAGAAAACCTTTGAGATGGTTGTTAAAGGTAAAACCACAATGCC